TTTTTTCCCGGCTATTTAGCGCCCCCTGCTAAAAGCCCCCCTTTCCTTTTTTGGGGGGAAAAAAAAAAAAAAAAAAAAAAAGTTAACTTACATATATAAGCCGCACAGGGCTATAAGCTGCTAGTATCGGTTGTCCATAAGGACGCAGCATCTGCTGGATTTATTAAGGACACGCCCTCCGTCTCCAACGCTGAGTTTATGTGCAGCGGCTCTATTTCTCTCCTGCCAGATCGATGGCCTTCAACTTAAAAGTTGCATCATATGAGTTTGAAGAAATTTCTCCGCCGTGCCTGCTGCTAGCATGTGCTTGTTCTAAATGAAAAGTTGCACTTTCTTCTTTGATATCCAATTTTGACTTCCAATAATTCACTTTCTGCTAAAGAGCCCCCTGGTGGTTGAAGAAAAATCCACAGAAAAGCCGCTCCAGGCTATAAGCCTAATGGTTCAAAGCATAGGAAAAAAGTAGCGGCTCATAGTCCAAAAAATACGGTATATAAAATTTGGATCTTTATCAGTGAAAAGTGTCATGAATTTTAAGCTTTGAAAAAGTAAAAAGGCTGTGGTTTCTTTAACAACTACAATACGTTCAAGTGACAAACATCTGCTACAACACAGTAGCAACTCCCACAACAATTTGCTGACTAAAGTTAAGTTGATAATTTTTAGGGGAAAAAAACTTTGATCTAGCCTTGAACCTACTTGGTATGAGTCATGATACATCACACACTGTGTTTTTATACCTTGCATTGCAAACCAACAAAGTAGAATACCATTATGAACTGAGAGGCCAATTAAAGTGTTGTAAGTATAGAATGGATTTATATTCAGACTCTTAATCTCCTACTTCACAAATATTTGTGTTGTTCTATCACATACAATCCCTTTAGATTACAAAATGTGAAAAGCTTAAGGGTATAAAATAAATTGTAAATACTTCAGATGAAAAGGCTCAGATGTAAGCAATTTGTATAACACTGCTGGAAGATTACCAAAAAGTCTGACTTCTAATCATTCTTAACCTTCTGCATATTTAAAGACAGTCAGCAACTCCGAAGAAATTAGTGAATCAACACTCTGACTGGACCTCTAAGCCTTCGCTGAAAGCCCAAAGGAAGATAATCGGAAAGAAATGAATCTGTTTTCTCAACCAGTACAGCCTGGCTCCTTGCAGAGAGGTCTCCCGCTAACCCATAGTTTCCCTCTGGCTTGAGGCGGCTTACGCAGCGCAGGACTGCAGAGTATCCCACCTTCTTCTCCCACTCGTTTTTTATAGAGTCAGCACTCTGATCGGAGAGCTTCTTCAGCTCCGCTATCTGCTTCTCTTTGCTCTCACAGATGATCTGGGATTCACGCAGAACACTTTGAACTGTGGGAGAGTTTGGACACAAGCACACAAAAAAGGGAATCAGGCCTTTCCTTTAAGGCTGTGGGGGGAGGAGAGGGAGAGAAATCAAGGATGTAAACAGAAATCTACCTGAAGGGATTGATTGTGTAGGTATGTGAAATTCAATCAAATGTTTTTAGTTAACAGAAAACACAAAGGAAACAAAAGTAAGAAGAAGAAAAAAGGCAACAATTATTTGCTTAAACTGCGCAGACTGAGCAGCACAGCTGGAGGACATCACTCTGCACCAGCATGATCTCCTGTGGGATAGCACCTTTCTAGGCTTTTTACTCTGAGTGTTCAGAGACACAACTGTAAACATCTTTCCAGTTAGCCCTGCAATCATGTCACCTCTCACCTTTCTTTTCAAGCTTGCGGTTCATCTCCTCAGATTCCTTCTGCTTAACTCTGTACACACTCTTTATCTCTTCAATCTCCAGATTTTTTCGGTCCAGAATCTAAAGAGTGTGAGAAGAAAAGGACTGTTTTCAGCGCCATGCAGATACTGCTAGCATGAAAGTGTGTGTGTGTGTGTGTGTGTTTTTTTTTTTTTTCTGGAATCTATGTCATGGCCATATTTAAGAATGTTAAATCTTGTAGAAGTTAAGACACATTAATTAACATCTTTGCAATGCAAAACTAAGAAATAATGATAATTATAATCCTTAAACAGAATATTCAGTATGTCAGTGGCAAAACATAACATACAAGAGAGATTCGCAACTGCTCAAATCAACATTTTCCATCTTGTTTAGCCATCTACGAAGTCATGAATCACTGGAAAAGAGTTTCTAAATCCATAAATGCATGTCTTTTATAGACAGAAGGAAGAGGCACTAAAGATTGATGCAAACACAGGATGTAAACCCAACCAAATACTGACAAGAGTTGGGATGCCATCTAATAGGTCCACAAAGCAAATTTAAGTTTTTGACAATGAGTGCACATAGAGAAGTGAACCAAAGTATCTTAAAACTTTAAGATCAGACACACAAGTAAAGAGATTGTGTTTGTATTCTTGGCAATCAATAAATAAAAATACAGAAATGCCCTAAACTATAAATTTTTTTTAATTATTATTATTTGAAACTGAGCCACTTTTAAGAGCATACATCTGGATATGAACTGTATAATCGGAAAGTGCTGTATGCATTTCAATTCCTTAGGAGACCAAAGACAAACTGAGTAAAATAGCAGCTGAATGAACCACCTGCACCGAGGTGATGAGGTAAGTGCATCTGCTTGCTGCTGCCATCTGGGTGTCATTAGTTAAATCAGGCAATGACGAGCTGCAGCTCCAGTAACGGAAATAAAGCAGAAAGCTTTCCAAGAACTTATGCTCAGTTGCATTGCATCTGCATAGATATGCAAAGACAGAGAGAAAGAAAGGCTTTTCCTTAACTTGTGCAATAATTTAGGCTGGGAATCCAAGTCTTTGGGAACTATGGAATAGCAAAATGACTTTTTAACAGCACAGATCCAATCCAAAAGCATGCTTCTCTTGCTGGGAATGGCAGAAAAACATAGGAGATGTTATTTTTGTCTGACTCTAGAAGCCCGTGACGCTCCTTATTAGCTAAGCCTGTCATCATCCCGGTGTGAATGGGATGGAGGAGATGAAAGGACGATTGGGCGCCTGGAGCAAAGTTCACCCAACATTTAGGGCTAGCCAATTTTTTTCCATTTCACCACCCCAAGAGATTTTTGTTTTTCTTTTCAGGGTGTAGAACCGAAGGCAGAGCCACAGGGTCAGGTTGAGGCAGAGTGCATTATTATCCCTTTTTTGAGGTCTTTCGAAGACATCCTAATTCAAAGAGAATCCAACTAATTAAAGAGAGGACAGAGAACAGCAGAAGAAGAGAACTAAATTAGGATTACCAACTGAACTACAATGATCTGCCACAATATTATGATGAGAGCTGAGCTCAAACCTAAAAAAAAAAAAATCTAACTCAACCCAAACCCATAGACGGTGTGTCCGAGCCCAATTCAACCCGACTAATGAACTTTAATTAGAGGCCTGAGCCTGAAATAAACTTGACATATTATTTTAAACTGCTACCAGTTTAAAAGACTTCCAGACCTCTGCCTTTGAACTTTTCTGACTTGGTAGTGTAGCATTCCCCGTTCTTTGCTTTTTTGTTAATATCTTCCTGCTCCATTTTATCACTTCTTGTTCCGCAGAATGAGTCAAGTGCAACTCTTCTGGATGGCTACCAAAGGAGGCATATTTAATAATCTGCACAAGGAGTCTTTGAAACTCAGATTCCCCCAAAAAGAGACGCCATCTCAATTTCTGTTTGTGAACCGACGTTGCTGCCCCACAGTCGGCCTCTAGCTGCTAGCAGAGCGGCTAACCGTTCCCTCGAAGCTACTGCCACAGCCACATGCTGACTGTAGCTTCATAAATGCTGCAAAGGCTCAGTTTTTTCTATCCACTGGCCCCCTTCCTTTGCCAATTGGTTTGCAAACGTTTGTCCATTTGAGAGCATCTTGGTTCTTCAGCACTGCTCAAGTAAGGCTTGTGATATATGCAGAGATATATGATTTAGGATAAACAAGAAATGTTTCTGAGTGTGTATTACATTATGCTTTTTGCATTGTTTATGCTCAAAACTGTTCCGAAGAGAGCAGGTTTAAAACGAGCCAGAGCTGAGGCAATCACTAAGCAAACTTTATTTCAATAAGTGGTTTGATCAACAATAGACCAGTAACGTGAGCTGGTGCCAAAAAAAATAAAAAATAAATAAATGTTATACTTTTTATTCATTCAGCCTTTTTCTCTAATCCAACATAATCTGTTTGGAAATGTTGGCAGGCCTTGGAAAATCTCAGGTAGGGCGACATTCCATATTTTCTATGAAACACACTTGGCGACCGCTGTCTTCGGATTACTGGCTGCACCAATCACAAATATAAGTTATGGAAACTTTTTTAACTGCTAAATACACACAGAGTGATGTCTCATCTCCCCATATTATGCATAATTAATGGCCACTTCCACAGAAGAGATTAGAAAAAAATTGTGCTGTTCATCTTGAGTTATGATTCTCAAAAAGGAATAGTATAAAATCCAAAAATCAAAATAAGACTTTACACACGGAGCCGTAAAATTTCGATCAGTGCATTTCTAGCAGCAATCGTTTAAATATTGAAAAAATAACCACTAATAAAAATGAGTACTCCTCACTTTCTATTGGACTTAAAAGGTTATTACTTAATCAACACAGAGTGTGGTGCCATGTGAAAAATCGTATCGTCTTAAGTGAATGGCGAACTGTCTCCTTAAAAGAATCAATGGCAGCAAAGGAAAGTCATGTAAGGACGAGACTGATTCCAGGTGCTTGAGCTGCAGCCTAAATGACAGCACTTACAGTTAAATAAACCAGCTTTAGTGCTGCTTTCAGCATCTGACAAGAAGCTTTGAAGAGATGAAACCAGTGAGATGAACAGAGAAGCATTCCTTTACTTTTCACTTGCTTCCTAATGGCTTTATGTTGGCAACCGCAGATTAAATGGTTGCACAGAAGATGTGCCTGTCATGTTCAGATTCCTAAACAGAAACTAAGGTTCTGAGTTTCCTCCATTACAAAATTACCTTGCAGATTATGACTTGATTTAATAAACACTAAAGCTGTGGGGAAATATAAACTACATCAAATTCAATGCTCCTTTCATTTAATATTGAAAGCAAAACCTATCATTTAAAAAAAATACAAGTTAAATATTAAAATAAAACTGGTGACATGAACAGCAGTAAAGTTAGTTGGTCGTGAGCTCGTGTTTTTCCATTCTTGCCTTCTCAACATCTGCATCATGCCTCTGCTGCATCTTCAGTTTCTCCTCCTGGTGCTTGGCCTCCAACAGTTTGATCTTCATCTCAGTCTGAGAACAGATGAAACATCGTGTCATGCAAAAGAAAAACAACACTCTCATCGCACCACGTCTGCTACTCTATAATTTAGCTGTAGTTTCCAGAAACTGAACGTGAAAACGACTGCAAATTGATCTGTTCTCTGGCACTGGTTTGTTTTTGCAGACGTTATGAGAGAGGCCAAAAAAACATACAATTATCGTGAACCATCTTTCAAACATGGAAACAATTCCCATTAAAATTGTGGAAATCATTCCAAAAATACTTTAAATTTTGTGCATGTGCGTCTCTAAAGAGAACGTAAGCAAAACACAAAAGAGAAAAAGAAAAGTGTAATTAGGAAGTTGTGCGTCTGAAACTTACTAGCACAAAATGGCTGCGTAATATTAGCATAGCAGTCACACTGATGACCGTTTTTACTCAAATGCACCATTTTAAGAAGGGATCAGCTTCAACATTGTGTTGAGAAATTTTAGACCATACCTTCAAGAGCTAAGGGAGAACCTTGATTTAAGACTACTTATACCCTACAAACCAATCATAAATCACTAAATAAGAGCCTTTTTTCTCATATCATTTATTCATGGTAAATAAATAGGATTTAATCATTAATATCTACCTCAGGGATGTCCTGAGGGCCTTCGCTGTACACTACATGAATCCAACTTGGGAAAGACTGACTTGAAAAAGTACCCCATAATCTTTGAACTTTATAAACTTCATAAAAACTTGTGTCAGAGAAGAAAACATGCATTAACCATAAAACAAAGCATATCTAAGTGATCGTATTGTGTTAATTTAAAGGTTGTTAATTTTCTTTGTTGAGGGCTGTGGTCAGGGGGCCACGGAGTGAAATTTTGCCAAATTAAAAAAAAAAAAAAACATCCAAGATCAACATCTCTATTTGAAGCATGAAGGACAGTCTTTTGCAATAAAAATAAAGATTTCTTGTGTGGACTAAAGTCAGAGCTGAGGATGCTGTTACATCAAACTCATGCTGCACTGCGTTTTACACCCGTAAGTCAGAATTTCCAGGTTTCAAGCTTTGCACATAAAACATACTTACAGCTGTGGCAATAATAAAACAGTTTTATGCAGTTCTGACAACTTGAATTTGTGTTAAACCAGTCACACACACAGTGACATAAATCAACAACAGAACATGTTCTTGAATTACTAACGATAATAAGCTAGGTTAACTGCTACAGTTAGTAAATCCACTGGTTGTCCATCTTGAAGAGATGGACATTTGTCAGGTGTTCCTGTCATTACAGTATACCTGATAAAGATGTACATATACGGATGAAACTTTTATGAAACTAAAGAGAGAATTTATTCTGGAAATACAAGTAATTGTCCATACTTCATTTTCTTTATCCATTCTTATCTAAAATTTAGGGGTGCACCGATTTATCGGCCGGCCGATTTATGGCCCAGTCGATTTGTCGGCGTTTGGGAATGACGGGAAACCTCTGCCACCCCCACTTGTATGCCCATCTGAAGAAAAAGAGGCTCACAATATGATGAGGCTACAGTCTTAGATGCAAATATCCTGGGTTTGATTTCTGGGCTTTAGAAACATTTACTGCATGTTTTCCCCTTTATTGACTCCACTTCCTGTCCAGCTACTTATGAATAAAGACAAGCAGTGTCAAAAGAAATCAAAGAAAAGTAAAAGCCATTTGTGTTTACAAATGGAACACTCCATAACTTAGCAGACTGTTCACCTACAAAATAAATGACGTTAAAGAGAAGGCTTGTAAACATTTACATTACATCTTTTTCTACCATTTGTATCATGTTCAACATTATCCTTCTATAATAAACTGTTACCTCACTAACTTATATACTTTTATTTGATCAGTGAAAATCTTAGTTTCCTCGTTTTTTTTTGTTTTTTTTTTAAGCTGCTGTCTTTAATTAGAGGATGTTTCTCTGCACAAACACACGGCACAAAGGAAACCTTTGACAGAAAAAACTGTCTGGCTGTTTGCTTTGATGTCACCACTCATGTATAGTCTGTGTATCTTCTGGTACGTTAATCAAACCTGCAGCAGGGTGACAATGTTGCTCCCTTGAAAATGTGCTCGGGAGTGTGTGTGCATGTGTGCGCATGCGTGAGCGTGTGTGTGTGTGTGTGTGTGAGCGAGTCAGTGGTTAAAAACATCCCGAGGCTAAACCTTGTTTGTTCTAGTCATCAAAACCATTAAGCTGAAAAATTCCCAAAATGTCACTTGGCACAGGGAAAGCTCATTAGACCTTGTCTCTAAGATAAATATCAAAAGAAAACAACGTGATTTAACTGCAGTATTGTTTATGTGTGTAAATAATGACAGAACACAATGAAGACATCAACAGCACACAACTAAATGTAGCCAAGCTTCAGGACTGAAACAGTGGAACAAAACCAAAGAGCTCAGGTTTTCACTCTGAAGTCAGCAATTCCCTTCTCGTTTAGCGCCCCTTTAAAAATAAAAGTCCAACTAAAATGCAGAAATTGCCTTCTGGATGCCGCTCCTCATTATAGCTCTTGAGCTACATTCAAACTGCATCCTTGACAGAGCTCGTTTAAGTATTCTGTTCTTTCTTCTCCATCTTTTTTTCTTGATTTAATGCTATTTCTTGTGCAATTGAGAGGACCACAGGAGACTTGTCAGAGTAGAAACGAAGAAGTCAAAAAGAAGTGAGAGAAAGACAGAGGAGCAGAAGGAGGGGGGAGAGGGAGGGAGAGAGAGAGAGAGAGAGAGAGAGAGAGAGAGTGAAGGTGGTGACTGAAAAGAACAATGTAAGGCAGAGACCTGATTCTAACGGTGCCTGAACAAAAAAAAAAAAAAAGGCTCATGGGGGGGGGTCACTTTCTTATCCTCTTTTCAAATGCTCTTTGGAGAAAGTTTGTCAAACTAGATCAGTGGTGTTTGAAACTTGTTTATAAAAGCGTCGGTGAAGGGAGGAGGAGGAGGAATGTCGTACACCTAAGGCTTCTGAGATGTCTTCAATCAGCCCCGACTGGGTGGTACAGCTCCTTCCCTTTTCTCTTCTTCTGAGTTGGAGCGAGCGCTGTAAGATGCCATGTTTTTTGACACTTTGCTTTTGAGAGGATGAGAGCTAGGGAGGGAAGAAGAAGGGGTGGATGGGGGGGATCTGAGAGCGGGACTGCGAGCGGAAAAGACGGAATCGGATTCTTTTTCCGTTCGATATCAGAATGCCATGGGGGTGTCAGTGGTGGGGTGGGGGGGGTCAAGGCCTTTATTTCTAAAGAGGGAATACATTCACAAAATTGTCTGCTGCTTACGCCTCACAAGGCCTTTTCTATAAAAAGTAAGGAATCTGGTTGAAGTATTTCTATGGATAGCCAAATGTTTCTTTCCAGGCTTTTTTTTCCCCCTAACCCATAAAAATACGGACAAAAATGTCATCCATCTGTAAGCATTCCTCCAGTTTTCTTTTATTTATCTATTGCTCATTCAATCATTATTCTTTCATCCATCCATCCATCCATCCATCCATCCATCCATCCATCCATCCATCCATCCAATGTCATATTAAAAGCTTGACCCATCTAGAAATGGACTGAACTCTAGAAACTGGGTTGTGAAAAGCATGAATTGACAACATGAAAAATACGTAGGAACAGCTACAGACCAATTTCTAGCTGTTATGTTATACCTTTCTGACCAAGTAAAAAGGCTGGACAAAGATTGTGGCTAAAATTTGATCTGGCATAGTTTTTGACAAGAAGCATTCTGAACAAAAACAAGAATGCGCGTATGAGGCCGAGAGACTTCCATTCAAATTCTCTAAACCCACAAAGTACTAAGATAACAAGAACAGAGGAGAAATAGTAACTTTATTATTATGAAATAGTAAATCCCTCATGGCTCCATGCCTCAAGCATGATCTTGAAAGCCAGCTGCAGATCTAGTCCCCGCTAAAACTACTGAGACTCACAAGGTTACCCTTTTTTAGCTTTCAAAAGCGATCAGATAAGACAGGCCATGGCCCTCTAAATCACAGGCTCAGAACTCAAGCTTCATCCCAGAGGACCCTTAGATTAGAGAGACTGCATCATTATGGCATCAGAAAGCAAAGGGGTCTGATCCCCAGTTGGGGGCTTGCGACCATTAGACCATGACTGCTTGACACACATCTACCAGGCTGCTGCCAACTTTCCCTGAGGTCAGGTGCCGAGGGAAAAGCTTCAAGATGGCATGCACACAGAAAGTCTAAAAGAAAGGCTGTGTGATTTAATCATTCTGTCAGTATCTCCTGTAATCTCTAGCCTTAGGCCTGCGCCGAGCTAAAACTGACTCATCAGTCACAGTTTAATTGAATTTCCAAATAAAGGCCCGGCCCTCTTAACACTAAGCACTTTCAGAGTGTGCTGTAGGATTAATGGGACTTTGGCGCTCCTGCAATACATCCTCCACAACTCACCTATAAGCTGTCACATATGTGTAAGGAAAGCTTATGGGGAAATGCTCTACCTCAAGGCATGTCTTGCACACACAGACTCCCTCTAAAGGGCATAAACAGCAGCCAAGCTGTGTCAACACTGAAGGTGTTTTAGTGCTCTTATTTTATTGGATCAAGCTGTTCGTATCTAGCAGCTAAAGCTCCTTGCTCATGCTGTGGGCACTGACCACAATCTGATGCAGACGTTACAAAAAATAAATAAATAAATGTGTCAAACATCTCCCAACCTAAAAGGTTAGACACATCAGTAGAAAGTGGCATCATGTTGTTCTGTTTTTCCAGTAGTCTTCACCTCCTTCGATGTTTTACCCTTCTATTGCTTTTTACAAATCAACGTTTGGCATTCCTGACAAAATCTAAAAAAAAAAAACATCTTTAATGTCAAAGTGAAAATCGGATTTCTGCAAAATAATGACATAATGTTTAACATAAATTAAATGCTTGCATAAACATTCACCCCCTTTAAAGTGACTGACCCACATTCAACAGAGGTGCAGACAAAAAGTAAGATAAAGTAAGTAGGAGACTGGAGAAGTGCTATTATCACCATAGTTTATCAATTTAACAATGAATAGACAAGATGAATAAACTGAAACACAATGATGTAAAAAAAAAAAAAAAAGATTTGAAATTGTTTGTTTATGGTTATGACATGGGGACAAAAAGGGAGTACATGGCAATGTGTGAGTGTGAAATGCAGGTACAAATAGGCAGAGGGGTAAGTCACCTCAAAATACCTCCATACCACCATGCACACAACTTCCTCTGTTCCCAATCTTCCTGATTTAAGTTGATGAATACAATCTCTGCAAGGGGTAAAAACATTAAAAGAGAAACAAAATCTCTTAAGCGTAAACATCACAAATCTTAACATCAAAGGGAAAAGGTCTGCCCCGTTTCTGCCTCGTTCCCTCCCGTTTCCAGTGTGTTCATCCTGATGTTTTTCTTTAGCTCTTTGGAAAAGCTTGACATTTTGGTTTCATTTTGCATCAATAGGCGTGAGACACCAGTTTCTACGTGAAAAAGATGGTCTGCTTGTATTGAAGGCTTTATCACACCAGTCCCATATTTTAGCTCTTTTGAAACCTTAAAGCAGGGGTGTCCAAAGTGCAGTCCGTGTACCATTTGCGGCTCTCAAGGATTTTATTCAAAGCCCCAAAACATAATTCTGTTATGGAACAAATCTGGTCAGTAATCAATTTTTGTATTTTTTTAGAATGAGATTTTTACAGTCAAAAAAAAAAAAAGCGTTGCTTGTTGCAATGTTAGTGACACAAAATAATCTATGATGTGCCACAGGAAAGGCAGGAACAAGTCGCCAGAGCAGTAAAAGAGAGAAAAAAACCCCTATACATTTCTGAGAAAATTGTGATTTCTGTTTTGTTTTTTGCTAAATATACCAGCTGTTGTCATAATGAAACCACTTTGTGCTTTAAAAAGTAGTTTCTGAAGTTGTAAAATGGTAACGTTTGTATTTGAATACTTCTTGTTTACAGAGTAAATCTCTCATCTCATGGTTGATTAACACAACTGTCTTTATTTCGGACATTCACATGTTTTTACTATTGGTTTCGGCAAACAGGATGAAAGTGTGAAAAGGAGACGTAGCTAATTTGCATCAGTACCGCATCACCCTACTCCACCCTGGTAACGGGTCGATGGAAAAACAAACCATGGCCCGAGTTTGTTTACGGGTTCGGGCCAAACGCTCACCTAAATTTTTCCAAGAACTGCCGAACATAACCTTTGCTGTCAGACTAAATGCAAAACAGCCAGCAAAATTAACAAGCTCACTTTTGTCTGCACACCTTCCCAACCTGTACCTGTTTAAGGTCAAGGCTGGGGGAGGTTTGGTTATTACAAAGTAATTTAAATACACATAAGTTATTAATGAGAAGATAAAATCAAAAAGTTACCAGAAGTTAAGTGCTGTTTACTTTATAATTTTGGGCCTCATGGAAAAACTTTGGACACCACTCACTCAAAGCCTCATTCAGTTGACCCAAAACCTTTATAAAGGGCATCAAAGCAGTTCATAAGCTTCACAGCCAATTTGCAAAAGGGTTGAAATACTGGATAGAATTACATTACACAGGTGTAAACCCACAAGTGCTGCATGCAATCAGTGTAAGGTAAACATTCCCATTACATTCATCCATATTGAGCCACTCAGTCAGTCTAAGATATAATCAAACAGCAGAAGTTGTTGCTCTAATTTTTTGGTTTTCCAGTGGCTAAGCTGCATCAGTGTACAGACATCATTCCTTGCTGTTCTAGGTTAAAGCACAAACCGTGAACAATGCTCTGGGATGTAATGGACACCTCTTAACAATGTCCTGTGTGTCTACGTATCCACGAACCCCTCCCTGCACCTGCATCCGTCAAAGCAGTCAAAGCGACTGCGGCAGCCACTAAAAGCCAGAACGGTTACATACGAGTCATGCTCAGTTTTATATTTAACGCTGCGTTTACGGTGCTTGGTAGAAGGAATGACTGGAGGTTTGGGAGAGTTGGGGAGGGTCAGATGGGACTTCAAAGCATGCTTTCAGAATAGGATTTTCTGCTTAAATCCACATACGGAAAGAAAGAGAGTCATCAGAGGAAGCTGGCGATATTTCTGTCTTCTTAGGGAATTGGCCATTCCACCGGTATAAGCCATGTAGATGGGTGTTTATAAATGACTGGGGTGTCTTACACCTTTATAGCAGGCAGGGTTGGGTTTGACTTCTCGATGTGATATTCTTATTTTCATATAATCATAAATATAAAGCATGCTACACAGAAAAAGGCAATGGGATGAAATGTACAGCGCCTTACTATATTTCATCACATCTCTACCACAAACTTTTCATTCATTCAAGTTTATTTGGTCACGGAAAACACTCTGGGCTATGCAATACTGTAACCACTGCTCTGAAAACTGATTCCAGCTATCAACTAAACTGCTATCAACTTTAGGGTCTTCCTAATAAGGCCTAAAGTAACCCTCGCTTCTAAGATGTCAATCAAAGGCAACACAATAAAAAAACAAGTAACAAAAACAAAAAAACAACAAAAAAAAAACTATTACGCAACAGACATTAAAGAAAAAACAACTCACCAACTTTCAACAAATGTCACAAATGGATGACAGACATATTAAAAGAAAAATGCTAAATGTACTTTGTTAGAGGGGCAAAATTGTGAATTAAAAGGAAAACCATGTATAATGTATTTGTATTCACCCTTCAGTCAACACTTTGTAGAACTCTGCAGCAATTACAGCTAACAGTGTTTCGGGGTATGGCTCTACCAGATTTGCACATCTAAAAAGGGAAATGTTTTGCCTATTCCTCTTTGGAAAATTCGACAAAAACAGTCAGATTGGCTGAAGACAGTCTGAGAACATCTATTTTAAGGTCTTATTCTCATTTGATTTTCCAGTGTGACCCAGTGCCTTTAACACATGAATACATCTATGCTTGGGGTTGTTGTCCTGGAAAGCGGACCTCCACACCCCAGTTTTAATTTTTTTGCAAACCTTCTGCCAAATAGAATTTATTTGGGCAGCAATGACCTTCTCTTTGCCACTCTTTCATAAAGTGCAGATTATTGAAGCAGATTTTTAGATGGAGAGCTAATTCTTGGTTGGTTTGCAGTTTTGCCACGTTCTCTGTGAGACGTCTAAACCTTGGGCTACATTTTTATATTTTAACTCCACAACTTTCTTATTCACCAGTCTGCTAAGTTCTTTTGTCATCATGATGCTGTTTGTTCACTAATGTTCTTTAAACAAACCTCCGAGGTCTGCATAGAAAAGCTGTTTTTATTCAGAGATTAATTTAGACACGGGTGAACTCCATTTATTAATTAGTTGACTTCTGAAGGTAATTGGATTTTAATTAGGGGTGCCAGAGTAAAGGGGGCTGAATACAAATGCATATCACACTTTTTAGAGATAAGTTTGTAAAATATTTTGAAAGCAATATTTCTTTTTTTTTTTAACTTGCATATAACACAAAATCAAAGCAGTGCAGTTTGAGGTCATAATGTGACAAAACAAGAAAAAGTTGGGTTGGGCATTTTCCAGGTTTAACTATATTCAGCGGCGTACCTCTTTGCTTTGTAGACCATGATCAGTGGCAAAGGTGCTATTTGTCTCAATGGTTGACTTTAAAATCTACAGAGACAAAAGGGAGAACATTAAGGTGATGAGAAGATAGAAGAGCTCAAAGACAACTTTTTTTTTTTTCCCAAGCATCAAATAAACAACAAAGGACCCCTGACAACTTACTGGTGATAAGGGGCTGGGCTTCTCTCTCAAATACCTGGGGTTTTCAATCTGAAAAGGCAAACAGAAAAACATTCAGACCTCTCTTTCTCCTAAGCCTCTCCTAACAAAGCCCTAAAACGACCAGAATCTATCCCTGGCAGTGAGTTTGCCATAAACAATGTGGAAAGCACATCAAAGCCCAGTTTTGTGGCTGAAGTCTCTTCCGTCAACTCCTGTCTGTTTAGAGAGACAGAACCGTCGTGCAACTTCAAGGCTTTGTGTGTGTGGCCGGCTCTGTTTCCGCTCTCAGCTCCCCTTCTGCTGTCCCTTTTGTCAACACTGAAGACCGCTAATCTGTAAGCTATCCCCACTCTGTTTACCATCACATGGAGGCCAATGTGTATACATCCCTGCCAAACACTGACTCGGCATGCTCTTTGCTTACAGTAAGAAGCAGAGAGGACTGAAAAGTGTAAGCAGGTTAACCACCTGAAAGTAAGCGGGTCACAGTCCATGTGACATTAGTAGCTTTACATCAATAAGGCTCGCTAACTGTGACACAAGCTGCAAAAATATCATCATACAGTGCTTCTCTCTGATGCTTTAGGGCCATCTGTGGGGGCTCACATCTAACATCGACATCACAGCCTTTCAAAGTAAGAACCTAAATCTCAAAATGACGGCAATGACTTCCAAGGCTAATCTCCAAAACAAAAAGACAGAGTGGGAACAGGAGAAAATAATGGGATTCAATTCAATGTTGTAAAAAAAAAAAAAAAAAAAAAAAAAAGGGGAATCAATGCTTTAGGATGGCGCTACCCACACAAAGCTAATCCTGAATGAATGGGAGATGAGGGAACATGACCTGAGAGAATTTAGGGACTTGGGAGTTAAAAAAGCTGCAGCCATAGTGCCAGGATAAAGTCACAATCTGTTGCTTCAGGGGTGAGAGATTCACAATAAAAAGGAAAGCAGCTCTGCCTTACTGACATCTACTCAGGTTAAAATGAGCAGGATATTTTCGCGACATGCTGTTACCCTTAAACCGGAACCATTTGGTTAAAATTATTACTGCTACACATACATGCACGAGATCTGCAAACAGCTCCACTGTGTGTGTTGTAAACAGTCAAACGCAGCTGCATCAGGCATGATGAAGGAAAAAAAAAATATATTTTTACAAACTGGTGCGTAGCATGAAACCTAAAATGGGATTTCTTTTTATACCCACAAACAGCCAGTCATCAGGTTTGATTGAGGACGGGCCACAGGGCAAAGAGGACATGCAGAGTAAATCCTGTGGTGTTGTCTTGGCACAGTGTCACCCTAAACTTGGACTCCTTGTATATGTATGCCTCTGAATGTTTGTAAGGAAACAGACAGGGAATAATCACAAGGACTCAACGTCGAAACACATCTGCTGATATCAAACTAATTTCACACTAAAACTAAAGGAGCTGTATAAAAAAATAAAAAATAAATGTCAAAATCAGCTTTCTGTTTAAAAGAAATGTAAAATTAAAAAAAACTTCTTTTTTTTTTTACATTTCTTTTAAACAGAACGCTGATTTTGAGTCAACTCCTGTTTGAAATTAAATGATGCTCCAACAAAGAAACTAAACTGAAATTTAGAAGTGCAACTATGGTTCAGACATGAAAAATAAATAGATCACAATCTATTGTTTTTCCAAGCAAAAAATACCTTTTTAGATCCACTTTTGGAGCCAAACCTCTTCAAAATGTAAAGGCACTACACTATGTATGGTAATTTGTGAGCATAATACAATAATAAAATAAAATCGGATAAATTGATAAGAAAATGTATTGTTTTGTTATAGTTTTTGCTTCTTGTGTGTCCTTTGTCAGTGTAAAATGTCTCTTAATATCATCAGGCTGCTTGAAGAAATAAATCAAGAAACTCTCTCCAAAGTTTCCACCTGAGTTTTTAGTTAAAAAAATTACATACAACTGCAGCTTTTTTTTTTTCCTCTGTCTGAGCCAATTAAACAACAATTCAGACTTTCTTTTTAACCACCACGTCTGTGGCATTAACTTAAAGAGAAAACAAACATGTCATTCCTTGAATGAAACATTCAGACATAAATGTGTAGATATGAAGGGTATGACAGATAATGTTTATAGATTAATGTATTTTTCTAAGTAAAAACAGAGTGATTGTGTTGAAAAATTAGACTTCCATCAATTTTTATTAACTACAGCAATGCTTGAATTCAAGCTTACTTACACTCAGGCACAAAAGAGAAGCAATGCCAGTCAGAACAGGAGTACAAATTACATCATCTAATTACATCATCTAACAGAAGTACAATTTTTGACACAAGTAGCAATCTACTTGTGACAAAAAACACATTTTTGTCACAACTGCCTCCAGTTGCTTGGAGACAACTAGTCTCCAAGCAACTTACTTTTGACCTCATTCTGACTTGATAAATCAGTATCAAACTTTTTGCTACATTAAAGTTGGAGACTATCACTATTTTCATCTTGAGTGGCTTCTACGCCACGCATTAAGAGTTTGATGTTTTGTTGTATGCAATGTCACAGCCTTCTACAACTTTTGTATGTGGTTTCCATGATACCCTAAACTGACTATATTCCATTAAAGTAGAAATGAATGGCAAACCAATATAGCCTGCTTCAGAACATCAAAATGAAAGTGAAAGATGTTCCAGATAGAGCGATGCTTGGCTCTGCTGAAATTTCGTAGGAGATGAGCACTTTGAAGCCGTGCATCCATAAAACTTGAGCGGGGTTTGTGCGTGTGTGTTTGTGTGCGAAGGAACATCTGTTGATTTGAAAGATGCAGGCTTGGGGGAGCGTTGCCAAGCAATGCTTCTTATCAGTGTTTCAACACAGTGGAGAGCAGAGCGGTGCAGTGAGCGGCTTCACGTCCGCAGACAGATCCCTCAGATTACCTCAGGACTGGATGGAGGGGGGTGGGGGAGGGCATAGAGTCCAAGATGCACGGACAGACAAACAAGAAGAGAACAAACAGAAACCGAGAAGGACTACAAAAAGTAGAGCTGTGGGGGTTCTGTAAAAATATCTGTGTGTAGGCAATGCAGGAGAAAGTTTGAGGCAACAGGAAAGCACAAAATGAGAGAAAAAGGGAGTTGGAGTCATGCAGGTGAGGAGAAGGAAAACTAAAACATATGAGGGCAGATTGCTTATCAAGCCCTGACCTAGAGCTCTGCAGACGGCAGAGATAAAACAGGTGCACACATCTTCCATTGCACAGTTTATACAACCCTCACAACCTACAATAGCAGTGAAATGCCAAAAGGAGGAGACTTCAAGAGGATTCAAGTAAAAGGCTCTTTTCATTATTTACTCAAAAGAGTCCAGGCAGCACGGCTAACTCGATATCACTGCACTACTGCGGTTAAGAGTGCTTCAGTCAGTCAGTGCTCTGCAGGCTGATAACGTACTGCTGAAAGCACTCAGTCAATAGCAATTACAGGGTCTGTATGATGGCCTCCACTTCCTATGAAAGTGATCTGGCAAGATATACTTTATACTAAATGTGTGGCTTTGTGTATTTTATTGACAAAAAACAAATAATAAACACAAATATAAAATAAAAAAAATAAAAAAAACATACAATAAATTTTGATGAGTCTGGATGAGGATTTGAAAAACAACAAGAGGGCTGAGAGAAACAAAAGCATAAGAAAAACTGAGGGTTGTCAGCTAAGCAACTATCAGGACATCAACAGGTCTGCTGAATGCTTCACAGCGACATTGAGTTTCTGACGCTGCAAACATTACTTCAGCTGAAATTAACCCAAGTCATGTTTCTGTACAGTTANTATATATATATATATATTTGCAAAAGACACTTGTAAATATACATACTTATTCATAACTTTGCATTCTGCTTTAATATGCCTGATTCAGCTGATTGCAGTTTAGCAAACACTTGTCAATTAAAATCACCTGAGGTAAAGCAAGGAAACACCTAAAACATGTAGGGCAGTGCGCCCTGAGGACCAGGGTTGGGAGACACTGGTCTATATCATACACATTCACAAACACACCTACTATAATTAAATTTAGTTTTCTGTAAAAATCGAATAACTATTTGTATAAATTTACTCCCCAAAATCTTCCTTAAAATATCTGATAAATTAATATTTTCCTTAATACTTTCAAACTTTCTCCTCATATACCTTCTCTCTTTTTCATATTTGTGACATTCTAATATAACATACTCTGTTGTTTCATATTTTGCATAGTTATCACATTTGCCAGTTTTAAGCTTTAGAATTTTAAAAAGTGTAGTGAAGTCAGTACTTTCAGAACATCTTCTGTTTCCCTTCAGATCAAAAATCTCTTTTAAAACAGTCTCTTGACAACAATGGTTAAAACAATTAGTTACAAAAATGGTTTCAGATTCACAAACAAAACCGTGAATCTGAATGTCAGATTCACGGGACAGATTCATGTGATATAGAGGACCTTTATCACATGATCATGTGATAAAGGTCAATGCTTCAAAACAAAAAGCAAACAATGTAAAAGGAGTAGAAATTATTACAAGAGCACTTTCAAATTTTAAAGTAAATCATCAATAAACTGGAATCATTTTTGGCATTTTGTATTGCAACAATTTAGTGCATACAATTATTTCATTTATAACATGTTGAAAATGGGTGTTTTTTTTATTGTACATATGAATGAAAAAACGTCAAAAAGATAATTATAATTTCTTTATTGCTGTAGTTTGATTCGACCACTTTGTTAGAAGACCAACTTTTATCACATCGAAACTTGAACAGATTTTTAATCCAAAATCCAGTTTTGAAAGCTTTTCCAAAAAACATTTATAACATCACGATAAAAAAGGTCTCTGAGTTTACGGAGTCACAAAACACACAGGGAGTCACTAAAAGGTAAAACTGAACACACAACTTTAAAACAATTTTTTAATTCATTTTTTGTAAGAAAATAATTGGTTCTGATTTTCTTCAAATATAATTTATAAACATGATTTACAAATTATAACATCAGAGTGTTTCCTATGAATTTATGTCTACATTTTCTGTCCATAAAGTCATAATATTGAAAATCAAAGATGGTTCATTTAGGTAAACTGCTGAAAATGTTATAGAGGAAATGCATTTAACTCTTGTTCATATTAATGTGTATTTTTAATAAAAAGTCACCATTTTTTTCCATCAGCCTACATACTGTTCATTCTCCAACCATTTCTTTATTAAAGAGCTTTTTGTTTTGCACTGTGTGCTGCACAGAAGGGTCAGATATGAAGTTGAACATTTTCTACTTTCTTTTCAACACTTTTATCAACTTTGGTCTTTTCTGTTGGTCCTTCTGTTTTTCTCCAGCAGAGACAGGAAGCCGATCAGAACAAACCTGGAGGAAAACCTGCAGGCAGCTGAGGCTGGGGTCAAAGTTCAGCTTCCAGTAGGAGAACCAGCCTGAACACACAGCCAGAGATATAATAGAATGGTCTAGATCACAGCATGGGTTGGAACAGCCTAGTCAAAGTCCAGCCCAAAATCTAAGATCTTCATCCAGTTTGCCTGAGCTGCAGCCGTTTCTGACCCGATGAGGCTCTGCAGAGCGGACTCTTCATCTTTCAGCCCAATAAAGACGGGTCTGGTTCTGGAACCCTGCACACCTGGTTAGTGTCGTGACGGCTTCAGGCTCATCAGACCTTCCAGTGTTCTCTTCTTTATTTCTAAGGTCAAAGGTCAGATGGCTATTCCTGCATCATTCTCCTCTGGTCCAGTTTTCACTCATATTTTTCTCCTGATGGTCTCCAGTTGGTCCAAACCTGAGGAAAGCAGGCAGAACTTCCTGTTGAGCGTTACGACCTTTGACCTCACTTCATCTCGTTTCTCTACAGTCTGACTTTTGATGAGATTTTTCTTCTTGTGAAACATTTCCTAAAATGCCTTTGATGCTAAATAAACAGCATCAGTTCTGAAAACAGAATGGACTCTACCCTCTGCCTACTCAAGGGCCACTTTATTAGGCACAGCTTTGTTTATGTCCCATAGAGGTTCTGCTGGACTCACATCCAGCAGAACCGCCATCTGCTTCAGGAAAAACAGCAAGTTTTTAAAATTAACTTTATTGTAGAAAACAAAAACTAGGGAAGCAACAGTCAGAAATCCAAAACAATCCCATTTCCCCCCTTTCATTAAACGCATCGTAGCAGGTTTCAGAGTGTGAGGCTGTTCTGCCAGCCCCAAGAGTCCATCATCATCATCATCATCATCATCATCATCATCACATCCAGGCTTGGTTGACCCACAGTGAAACCTCCCCGTTCTCCCCCTTAATCCTACTTGAACTGGTTGTCGATGAGCGTGCCCTTCATCTTGGCCTTCTTGGCCTCCAGCTCGGCCAGCTCCTGCAGCCTCCTCTTGCTCATGCCCTTCCTCTCCAGCTGCTTCTCGATCACCTTGGCGTTCTGGGCGTAGGAGTCGGCCACCTCCCGGGCCTCGATCTCCTCCTCCTCCTCGTCGATGGTGGACACGGTGACGGAGCTGAACTTGCCCATGTCTTTGGTCCGCTTGGTCATCATCACCCGGACTTTCTTGGGGGCCTCCGGCGGCTTCTGGCTGTACACGCTGGTGTTGCCGAAGCCCTGGCCGAACTTCACCACGGCTCCGTCCACGATGAAGGTGGCCGGGCTGTTCTTGTCCTGATGCTGGTAGAACAGCAGCAGCCCGCACTTCCCGCACTTCTTGCGGTGCTGCCGCTCGATGCCCTCCGCCCTCTTGATGAAGGCCTGCTCCTCTTCCTCCACGTTGCAGAACTTGTGTGCGTGTTTGGCGGCGTCGATGACCCTGGCCCGGTCCCGGGGCCGCATGGGCAGCTTCTCCAGCTGGCAGTCCAGAACCAGAACCATCTGGCCACAGAGGCAGTAGTAGACGTGGAGCGGCTTCTCGCCGTCGTCGTACTCCTCCCGGTCCCGGGTGTCGGAGCACACCACGCTCCTGGAGACCACCTTAGGCATCTTCTCAGGCCGCCAGGACCCTAGAAAAGCAGCGGTGTTATGGAGGAAAGGACTCTCTGCTTCCGGTGGTCGTCACTTCCGCCGCTCCTGACGGAAACCAGCTTCCTGACTTTAGTTCCGCATAGTTCCCCTCCTTTTATTTAGAAAATAGTTTACAAATAAAACAAGGCAGCAATATTAATACAAAGTAACATTTGGGTTTTACAGTTTGAAATGCATACAACAAGTTTATATCCAAACAAAGTTGTTAATCAAAGTATAAGTGAAGTTGTTGAACAGATTTACTTTTATCCAAATACTGAGATTTACAAAAACATTTTAGGATTTTTTTTTCCCCCCTCCAGTTATTTACATTTTGATTAACTTTTTTTTATGCATTTATTTAAAAAAAAAAAAAACTTTCCCAGTAAAACGATATTAATTAAAAATTTGGATCATTGAAATTAAACACCGAATGTATTTATTGTCAGACTCATTTGGCAGTTGGATTCCCCGAGCCTGGAGCAAACCCCACATATTGCTCCAAGTCTTCAGTGACACTGGAAGAAAAGATCATCTAATTCCTCTTCATGACAGAATGAGCATCCAGCAGGTTCATATCTAAATTTAGTCTTTATAAAATGATTAGTGGGCTAGATGTGACACAGAATACTTTGGAAGAAAAGTTCTGATTTTAGAAATTATATCTGATCCAAAACCTTTGAGAATATATTTTATGCAATTTAGCCAGACCTGGTAAATTCTGTAAAACTGAGAGAAGTTGTAATTATTTATCTTTAATGTCTGAGTTCATGTGATGGAACCAGATTCAATCATTTCAACCAATAAGCCATTCCAACCAGCTTCTTCTTCATTCCAGTCCTGCATCAAAGCATCAGAACCTGACAGAGGGAAGCAAAGCAGGCAGAAGCAAATTAAGCTGCTGCTTTGGACTTCCAGGGCAGCAGGGGGCAGTGGTGCTCCACTGGAGCAGCTTAACTTATGTGTGGTTCTGGCCAAATAGTAGTAATCCCATATTGCTAAACTGTATTGTTTATTTCAGTGATATTTCTGCTTTTGGTTCCCTGAATTTGTACTTTTCTTTTTTCCACTTTGAACTGCCAGTTGACAGCCATAGTGAGTCCTCTTGTTCATACACCAGCTGAACTTGATGCAATACTTGAAGATCCAAAATTCATGACACTCTGCATTTGGTTAATGGACTTCACCCCAATCTACCACAAGACCTACTGGAAGTATTGGTTGCACTGGTTTTATGTTGAACTTCTTTGAAATGGCAGCATTCCCACATTACCATTTTTGGTCAGTTATAATTTCTTAGACATTTATATTAGCCGACATGTGTTGAGTCCTCTGCCCACAGTTCCCAGTTAGACCCCTTCAGAATAGTTACCCAGGTTTCCAGTTGCTTTTCAGCCAGCTGACCGGCAGTGTTTCCTCCCCCCTCTGTCACGTGAATCAGGTCATGAACATGTTGGAACAGCGAGCAGATCATTAGGACTGGACCATTCTTCTCCAGGCCAAGCAGGTCAGACTGGGCTCTGGGTTACTGGTTCTGGGCCCTGTACTGGTTCCGTTCCAGTTTCAGGTCGTGGACCTCAGACCAGGAGCTCAAGGCTGGAGCACCTTGCAATATTTTCAGCTCAGCATGAAGAAACCAACCAGAGAAAATGCCACAATATTAACATTTTTATTTCAAGATGAGTACAAAACATTTTCCACGACATGGAAACAAGGAAAGGCTTTTCTCCTCAGCAGCAGGTGGGGGAGGGGAGATCACTGACAGCAGCTCGTGTCGCAGGTCTTCCCTTTGCACACGCAGCCAGAGGCGCATTTACTGCAGCCTGATGGGCAGCAAGAGCAGCAGCCTGCAAGCAAAGAGCAGCAAAGATCAGGACGCTGAGCAGCAGAACACCAGTTCCACCAGTTCCACCAGTTCCAGCATCACTGAGGAAAACTGGAGCTTCCAGCTAAAAGCAGCTGGAGAGAAGAAAATGAAGATGTTCTTACTTTTTTTGCAGGATTTGCAGGAGCAATTCGCGCAGGTGCAGGAACCTCCGCAGTTACATTTTCCAGCTGAAGGAGAGAAAACCAGATCAGCCTCCAAACTACAGAACCGGAACCGGAACCAGAACCAAGTACTCACTCTTGGTGCAGTCGCAGGGATCCATGTCTGAGCCGAGGTGGTGCGGGTCTACAGAGGTCGATCAGCTGATGTGGCTCCGGGTTGGAGGCGCTTCTTTTATAGCGCAGCGCAGCCAGGCGAGCCGGGCGCAAACACACGCACTGCGCACGCGCAGAGCGCTCTGCACACGGCGGGGGACATGATGGCGCCAGCGGCAGGGACAGAGACACATGATGAGAGGACAGCTTGGTTCCTGAATGTTACATAACAGCACCGAGTGTCCCGGTTCTGACCCGGACCAGCAGAACCGCAGACTTCTTCACATAAGGAGAGTGTTTATACTACAACTAAGATACAGTGGGGCAAAAAAGTATTTAGTCAGCCACCAATTGTGCAAGTTCTCCCACTTAAAAAGATGAGAGAGGCCTGTAATTTTCATCATAGATATACCTCGACTATGAGAGACAAAAAGAGAAAAAAAATCCAGAAAATCACATTGTCTGATTTTTAAAGAATTTATTTGCAAAATATGGTGGAAAATAAGTATTTGGTCAGCTACAAACAAGCAAGATTTCTGGCTCTCACAGACTTGTAACTTCTTGTGTAAGAGACTTCTCTGTCCTCCACTCGTTACCTGTATTAATGGCACCTGTTTGAACTCATTATCAGTATAAAAAACACCTGTCCACAACCTCAACCAGTCACACTCTAAACTCCACCATGGCCAAAACTAGAGAGCTGTCGAAGGACACCTGAAACAAAATTACAGACCTGCACCAGGATGGGAAGACTGAATCTGCAATAGGTAAACAGCTTGGTGTGAAGAAAACAACTGTGGGATCAATTATTAGAAAATGGAACACATACAAGACCACCGACAATCTCCCTCCATCTGGGGCTCCACGCAAGATCTCACCCCGTGGGGTCAAAATGATCACAAGAACGGTGAGCAAAAATCCCAGAACCACACGGGGGAACCTAGTGAATGACCTGCAGAGAGCTGGGACCAAAGTAACAAAGGCTACCATCAGTAACACACTACGCCGCTAGGGACTCAAATCCTGCAGTGCCAGACGTGTCCCCCTGCTTAAGCCAGGACAAGTCAAGGCCCGTCTCAAGTTTGCTAGAGAGCATTTGGATGATCCAGAAGATGACTGGGAGAATATCATATGGTCAGATGAAGCCAAAATAGAACTTTTTGGTCAAGACTCCACTCGTCATGTTTGGAGGAGAAAGAATGCTGAGTGGCATCCAAAGAACACCATACCTACTGTGAAGCATGGGGGTGGAAACATCATGCTTTGGGGCTGTTTTTCTGCTAACGGACCAGGACGACTGATCCGTGTAAAGGAAAGAATGAATGGGTCCATGAATTGTCAAATTTTGAGTGAAAACCTCCTTCCATCAGCAAGGGCAATGAAGATGAAATGTGGCTGGGTCTTTCAGCATGACAATGATCCCAAACACACCGCCCGGGTAACAAAGGGGTGGCTTCGTAAGAAGCATTTCAAGGTCCTGGAGAGGCCTAGCCAGTCTCCAGATCTCAACCCCATAGAAAATCTTTGGAGGGAGTTGAAAGTCCATGTTGCCCAGCGACAGCCCCAAAACATCACAGCTCTAGAGAAGATCTGCATGGAGGAATGGGCCAAAATACCAGCAACAGTGTGTGAAAACCTTGTGAAGACTTACAGAAAACGTTTGCTCTCTTGTCATTGCCAACAAAGGGTATATAACAAAGTATTGAGATGAACTTTTGTTATTGACCAAATACTTATTTTCCACCATATTTTGCAAATAAATTCTTTAAAAATCAGACAATATGATTTTCTGGACTTTTTTTTCTCCTTTTGTCTCTCATAGTTGAGGTATATCTATGATAAAAATTACAGGCCTCTCTCACCTTTTTAAGTGGGAGAACTTGCACAATTGGTGGCTGACTAAATACTTTTTTGCCCCACTGTATGTAAAATAAATAAATAAATAAAT